ATATATATGTATGTTTTGCTACTCTTTTCAGAATTTAATGTGCTGGTATTATAGATGCTTCACACCATCTGCAGGCACCTTGTTTTATATTATGGATGATGAGCATTCGAAGAATGTCACTCAACCATCATCCTGGATTTGATTCTGTAAGGAACACTTTCTTTCCTATTATCTATAGCTTCACCGATTCTTCTAGGCTTTTATATACTTTTGTATTTATTTTGGTGTAAGAATTATTCTAACTTGTATTTAGCATTGTACTGTAACTTTTGTGTAATATCATTGTTCTTTCTAAGCTCTAACTTTTAGTTCAATGCAACACTCATTGTAACGCATGAAGAAATGCATAGACAAACGAAAGGGGTTGCAGTAGGGGTGTCTGAGCTAAGCCAACCCAAGTTTGGGCTTTTTCAAGCTTGAGTTGAATGGATTTGGACTAGCTTGAGCTCGGTTTGAGCTTGACTCGAGCTTGAACCACCACGATTGAGCTTGGCTTGGTTTGACTTGATTACCTTGGCTTGGATCGACTTATTTACTTACAAAAGCCAACCACGAACCATAATAAGACAATATACAATATAATAGTTTTGTCATATAATTAATATCTTAAGGTTAGTTTCCTTTTTAAGCTAGAGCTCATATAATAGCGTATAATTTTTCTATGTTACACTTAATAACATATTAAACAACTTCCAGCCTAGCTGGCATCAGCTTCAGATTGGCTTGTTTAATAAATAAGCCTTAAGCAGTGGCTTGGCTTGGCTTGTCTAGCCAAAAAATATTGCTCAAGCTTGGCGCAAATGAGCCAACCCAAGGCGGCTCGCATTCTGGCTTGTGTTGTTGGCACCCCTAGGTGGCACATGATGCACAATGAGTTTTTAGCAAATTACTAATGTGCAATAGAAATGTGATGCTAAGAATGCATAAAAATTATCATAAAGTAGTAAAAAGACAAACCCAGTGAGAAAATGCATCACAATTTAAAATGTTACTTGAAACCCGGTCACCTTCTCCAGCAAGCATCTGTTTTTTCGAGGTAATATCACTGATCCTATGTTGGTCAGCACCTTCAAGACTCATGACAAAGTGTCTTGTTTACCAACTTGATCAGCTTGAACTCGTCCATCCATCTCTTTTAATACATTGTTGCTCTAGTCCTCTGGATCATTTCTAACATCTGAATCTTTAAACCTTCTAGCACCAGCATTCTTGCTAGTTGCTACCCCACCCTTGCCTCCTATTTTGTTGTATTTGAAAAAACCCAAAATCAATGTATCACTGAATGGTCATGGAGTTTTTGTGCATTCATTTTGTGGTGTTTTAAAGATCTGGTTATCTGATGTCACTCCAAAGACATGAAAGTGCATCTCAGAGAGAATGTTGGGAAAAGGCTTTCAAATTATATATATACTTGTGTGTGTGTGAGAGAGAGAGTTCTATGCTTGATCTTTGTGGCTTTCAATATAAGATTTCGTGGCTTGTAGAACTTAGCTAGCAGTTAATGTCTTTGGATTTATTTAGGTCAGAATGGAGTTTCTAACAGATATGTTTCAGGGTGGCATGTCATGGTTTCAAGATTTGACACAGTATCCACATGGTGATCTTGCTCCTATGTTTCCGATAATAGTCGCGGCGTTGCATTTTGCTAATGTGCAGGTATCTGGTTATACATTCTCACCACTTTTTCAGTACTTAGATATTTGTTTTCCCGATCATACACTATCTTTCAATCAAGTAAAGCATGCCTATGGTTTTAATAATTCACATTTTATCTTATCTATTTCTCACTGATTTCATATTTTGAATAAGATAGGACATTTTTTATCTGTTTTTTCATTACTGCTTACCTCATTAGAAGGCAAAACAAGATTTTAGCGACAAAAAAGCAACATGTTGGATGTTGTTTGTTCTAAGAAAGAAACAGTGTAGATATAAGATCCCAAAAACCAAAAATCTTCCTATTTGCACTTGCATTCACTAGATTATCCACCACTTATTTTGCTTCTATAGGATCATAAGGACAGAAACATAAGAAACTGATAATATGATATTTAATTTTCAAATTTGCAAACATTTATGTGAAAGTACGTCAAATGGAGTACTCTTTTTGCCATCTGATAACCTTATTTCCCATACAAACCAAACATCAAAAAATTTTATCCTATTAAGTATTAACTTCGCATTTGCTCTGACCCTTGTGAAACTGCTGTTCCCAGTGGACCCATGAAACTACCTGGCAGGGCACCTTCATCATTTTGACTCGCACTGGTTAACCAGCCAACCATGGTATGAATGTTACCGTTGAAGTTCACCATGCTTAGGTGCGGTTGATTACTGCTCAACCATCCTATCTTTTCCACCGAGCAATTAAAGCCTTCTTTCTCTGTACAGAGCCAACCATTGGGATAAGAAGGCCTCATTTTCTAGTTTCACATCCTAAATGCCATGGCCCCCTTAACCTTTGGGGTGACACACCTCCTTTCACTGGATTGAATGGATCTCTTCCCTTGAATCTGTCCATGCCATCAAAACTGTCTTTGGTGCTTTAAAATGATTAGCCATAGATTTGAGCATTCAAATAGGGAGTTGGAGGTAAGTTGGAAGAATGGCCATGCAATAATTTATCTCATAATTGGAGGCATGTCTAGCCTCAGCTGTAACAAAGGCCTGCATTCTTTGTTTGAATGACCATCTCATGGTATCAGAAACTCACAAGAATATGGAGCACCCAGGACACTTCATATATGGATCTTTAAAATGTAATTCCCTCATATTATTTGACATAGGAAATGTACTGTTGGAATTCTTAATTAGTGAAGTTCGGGTCCCCCCCCCCCCCGCCCTCCTCCCTTCTCTTTCTCTGTGTTTTTGGCAAACAAGTATGTAATTGAATCATTTATTTGTTTCTGGAAATTTGAAAAGAATGACCATCTTGACCATGTTTTCATCTCAGGTATCTTTTGCTACAGTTAAGGTGGGAGACATACCTGGGCTGTTGGGTTTAATAACCAAAGTAAGTTCCACAGAACCATGATAAATTATGAAACTTGAAGGAATCATTTCTCATTTACCATTAAGTGTCTGTTTCTGTCAGTTCGAATTGAGGTATTTTTCTGTTGATGTTGGCAGCTGGACCTCGTGGCTTGATCTTGGCATGTGCATATTATGTTATTTCGGCTTGTCCTATGTATTTAGAAATGCTACCTAGAGGATAACTTGAGTCGGAGGCTGAAGAACCAAAATAAATCTTGGAAAACAAAAAGAAATTTTAGGGAATATAGAAATTGGGGTTCCTATACTGTAAAAGGCTTCAGCATGTGCTGCTATTTTGACAAGTAATATAGACAAGAGCGTGTATACTCCGCTCCCATGGGAGCATATTATACACCTACTTCCTCAGCAGGCAGACCTACTTGGGAGGATTTTTTTTGCAATCTGAAAATTTGGGAACCACCTAAAAATAACTAGATGATTCTTTTCAAATGAGAATTTTTGAAATTTGAGTTTTCTAACACTTGGATATCACCCTCCAAAAATTGGATGGTCTCTGTTAAATCTTGAGGCATTATTATTATCAAGTGCACAGGTAGTGCAATTTAGAAAAAAAATTTATTGGGTTAGTCTATGGGTTGAAGAGGCTACATTCCCAAAATTTGGGGTCATAAAATTACTTATAGATTGGTTTTTTTTAGGTAGTAAATGAATAATATGCACCAGGGGCATAAAATGTTTTGGCTACAGACAAGATATTGTACTGTTCATCATAAACTAATACAATATCTGATTATGATGTCGTTATCATACAGTACATGACAAACATATCCTAACTACACTTCAAACTATTGATGCATCTTGGATACTATATATTAATGGTATAAATTATTAGATATTCAAAACATACTTTTCTTGTAGAATATTAACCAATTGAACGAGACAAAATTACTAGGGAAGGCATTGATCACCCAACTGAAGCATTGCCAGTATGCTTGAAAACATGCACCCTCCCACCAACCCTGAGAAAACCATCGACACATGACACCCAGTGCAATCACACTCCATTGCAGCAAAAATAGCAAAAAGATCATTCTTCGTCTCATGTTCCTTGCCTCCCACCAATTGTTGATATTCCTCTAAGAGTCTTTCCAACTCCATAACTGTTTTGGTTTCAGCTTACTTCTTGGGAGTTTTCACATGCAACTGATACCTTTTAGCTTCATCCAAGCATCAATGTAATTTTGCGTGAGACATCCCAGTGTGTTGCTAACCTTCTTCTATCACATTATGAGCAGCTGAAGGGGAATTTTTTTGCATAGGGCAATGATGAAAATTATCCAGAATGTAAGGACATTCAATTGTGTTAAGCTGTGTCAGGCATAAAAGATCATCCTATTCCCCTTTATGTTGTATTTTTTTTTTAAAGCGAGAGAGAGAGAGAGAGAGAGAGAGAGAGAGAGAGAGAGAGAGTATTGTACGAAGAAAGGAAGA